GGGTAGTATGGATTATTTGGACGAAGTTTCAAGTTTGTACGAAAAGATAGCAATTTTCGTCCAAGGGGCACTTTAATTACACGTATCAAGTAACTAATCTTTGCCGGCATGTTTCAAGAAATCACGCAAGCAATGTACTCAAAAAAATATTTCAGTGGAAGGTAGTAATTAAAACTTGAATCTACTGTCTTATTATTACCTTCTTTCCATATTTTACCCCTTTCAWCTGATTGGTTTCTGCGTTCACTGAAAAACACGCCATGTCAAACTTTCACTGAGCTAGACCGGTTTCAGTTAGAGCGGTAGTGAAAAAGTACAGAGTGCATTTAACTTGCAGACGTTCAATTTCTGTGCAGTTTATATTTGTTTGACACGATCGAATAGGGATAAATAAAGGAACAAAATAACACCGACATCGCATCTAGTACACTTCAATTTGACCTGTGTAAGTTACAATGTCATATAATCAAAGGAAAATAATCGACTCTTATGTGATGCGCCGTTTTCAATTCACCATGACGCGGGATCTATCCATAGCATCTTGTCAATTTCATCTGATCTGTGTAAGTTACAATGTTAAATAATCAAAGGAAAATGTTTAAAGCCAATGTTGGCCAGAAAAGGAAATTCGTTGAAATTCTAGTACTAAGTCTATAAACAGAGGCCGAGACCATCTCTGTTCCTCATGGCATTTGCAAATCAAGCAGTCTCTGCTGGTTTTTCAGCCATTTCGGCGGAAAATGCTTTAAAATAGTAATTGTTGTTGACCGTCTTCAAAGCGTAAATTTAGCTAAAAGTATAGTTCTAGTTTCTTTTCAGTCAGTTGTCGATGTAGAACATACTAACGACTAATAAATATGTATTATTACGACGATATATTATGAAACATTTGCACGTTAGCGATTTCCCGCGCCTTAAGCCATACGCGACACATAGTTAATCAACTATGTCAGGTCCGTGATCAAATTTCGCCGCCACTCACAATCGCGTCAAGAACCATATACTACGCGAGAATGGATTACCTACATCTAGCTTTTGCTTTCTTTCTAAAAAAAATTCTACCACTTGCAAGGGAAGATTATTGATACAAAATATGCTGGTATTTTAATCTTATGATGGAATTGATTTTTTTTTGCTCCAAATGGCGTGAAACTTCGACATTGCGTGAGATGAAGGAGGAAATATGGAAAAAAGGTAAAAATACTAATGGCGCACAGAAATGCCTGTAGCTTTTACACTTATTAAAGAAAGTAAAGTAAGAGACTAGATTCCCCGTACCAGTATTTTCGAAGCGTTAATAACTCGGAGAAGCCTCTTAAAAGGCAAATAGAAAATTCGCGGGTTTCGCCGGTTCGAAGACTAAATTAATTTCATTCGCATTGAGTTAGTTTTTTTTCCGCCTAGTGATAATTATACTGACCTATACTGTTGTATGAAGAAAAAAACATAAAGCAGGGTTATCAAGGTCACCGGAACACTTCTCATGTTTGTCATCTCTAACGTTTAAAATTACCTGATAAGTAAGCATATTCCGCTTAAACATACATAATTCTACGCAAATTCTGCGTCTTTGACAGGCTTTCCAGCAGAAAATGTGTAAATGGTATCTCAATGGAATTTTTTTGCGCAGAATGTGCTTATCGTCCGGTACTTTAAGCAGAACATGCTTATATTGCCGGTTTTTACGCTTGACCTGCGTAACTCCGGATTTGTTTTGGCACTCCGGATTTTCACTGACAGTTGTTAATTATATATCTACATACATGCTGTATAAACCCTATCATAATCAAAGATAAGTGAATAAATAAATAAACGACTAATATATTTACTGATAAATATAAAATCACTTATTTCCCTTATTCTGAAGCAACTAATATAATGAATTACTAATTGTCCCTCCTCCTAATACCAGCCCTATCCCAACATAATTTACAATATTTAATGATTAATGAATGAGTAAAATTATGTATGTAATTGCCCTATTTCACTATGACGTCACTGCTTGTTTATGTGGGGGATAGAATCGCYAAATCCAATAGAAAATTCAACAMAATTTGCTCCTAGCGAAACAGTTTAATCTGAAATGGCCTGGTTTTCAGATATAATATGTGTTAATATGTACTAAAAAATATTCTGAGCGTTTTCTGCCTATTTTACTTCTCTTCGTGGATTGATACAGGTTCTAGAACAATTTTCAGTGAATTTGCGTTGATTTGACCCCCTCCGACRACCATGATCCTTTGCGTTTAAACAATAGATTGTTTTGATGTGACGTCATAGTGAAATAGGGCAATTAATATGTATATCCCAATCCAACCCTATCCCAATATCATATATACAACATAGCATGCCTAACACTAATATTTAATAATAATGTAAGAACTATAAAATATACCTTAAAAGTAAGCATCCTTTCCAACCAACGGTCTTTCTCAGTACTAAGTAATTGGTAATGAAGTGACGCCAGCGCTACTTGGCACAAATATTGTGGCGGTAAATACTCAGAGAGTACAGCTGGTTCAAACCAGAAAGACCATTGGTTGGAAAGGATGTTTACTTCTAAGATAAGTGAGTCCTAATAAGTATCTATTTAGAAACGAACAGCAGTGATCAGTGAACCCTTTTTAGTATCTACGAATAAGTGAAACAAACACACTGATATATAACTCAATCCATCTGTCCTAGCACCTTTGCTAAAACTATGAGAATTTATGTGCATTTACTAAGCACTTAAAAGTAGCTAGGCTGTCAGATTCTCTTATATTAATGGACAATTCATTCCATAGCATATACTTGATTTAGAGTGCCAAATATGATGAAATTTAGGTTGTTCCAGTCTCGTACACATACCCCTCATGTTGCATTTTAGGTTTTTAGAGATTAAAGAATTCATGGATATAACTAGGACATACAGTTTCCTTTTCAATTTGGGATAATTTGCATGTTTTTCAAAGAGCTGAAATTGCACTCGACTTATACAGTCTTTCAACTCTTTGAAAAAAAGTCGTGCGAATTCCAAATTGATCTCAAAACAGTATAATTACCTTTTCTAATAGACATGTTGCACCATCACATGATGGCAGACATGACAGAGGGCAGGAACAATTGAATCTGATCTAATTTTATTTACTTTAGAAAGTATTCTGTTTCCCAGGAGAAATAGACTCGATAGTTGTGCCCCCTGTCATAGCTGTCATCATGTGATGATTCAAGAGTTTATTTGTCGGTTTTATTTTATTGTTTTTAGTTTAGTACAATCCATGTACAATTTCAAATTATGGTCATTTTTCATTACCTTCTTATCTTTAAATGGCAAACAATATATTATAGTACATCTTTTCCCCAGAATATTAGATAGTGTACCAGTTAATAGGGTACCATAACCACTCACTTAACATACCATCAGTGTCTGTCAACCATCCACCTATCAAATGGTTTTATAATTACCAGTCAATCATTATCCTTAGAGACAATTCATAAGTAAGTGAAAAAATGGGGCCTTGACATTTTAGTGACCATAAAAATGGGGGTCTTGAAATAATTGATGAGATATATTTGGAGAGCTTAAATAATGTAGGAAATAAACAGGGGGTCCTGGAAAACATTTGGCATGCTAATACCCAACCAATACCCTTCCCAATAATTTATGAATGGTACTTCCTTAGCAGTCCATTTTTAAGACCTTCATTGATCAGTATGTCATTCAATTACCAGCTGGTACCCATCCATCCACAACCATCTCCATCTGTCAAACTGTGTGTTAACTAATCATCAGTCGACCATCTTTTTTGTTGTTTCATTGCATCAGTCACCTGGCCTTTATTCTTTCTGTCATTCGATCATCAGGTGATTACCATCCACTCCCAACTATCTACGTGTGTCCTGTTTGTCTGTTAACTATATCACCATAGTCGACCATTTTGTCCGTCCTGCTAACAATTTAAACCTTTATTGTATGTACTCAGCACCTGATGCTCGCTACACTCACTGGAAACAGACAGTGTTTTATTTTGATGACTACCTGACAGTTAAACCTGGTGAAGAAATTACAGGAGAATTACAGATGAAACCTAACGAGAAAAATAATGTAATTATAATTATGTGACACTACAGCCAAACCTCTTTTGAAGTCAGTTTTTATTAAGCATTTACCTTCCATTAAGCAATCATTTTTAAATTCCAAAAAATAGACACTCTCTTCATAGACACTGTAACTTGACCTCTATTAAAAGGTTACCAGCATTAAGCAGAAGAGTTTACTTAATAGATTCAATTAACACAAGAAATACTGTCATCTTCATTTAATCATTTGCAAGGAACCTTAGGCGGCACCCTAAGACCAAAGTCAACACCTGTTTAAATTTTATGAAACCTAGTAAGTGGTTAACCTCTATTGAGCACTGACTTGGCTACTCACTGATTCCAGTAGGCATTGCATTCTCTGACAGATGCTTACTTTTATTTTTCAGAGAGATCTGGACTTCAAGATTCATTTGAAATTCGATGGGGAACTTGGTCAATATGATAAAACACAAACCTACAAGATGCGTTAAAGGTACTGGCATCTACAAGACTTTTAAAAACAAGTAAACATGTAGTGCTTGGCTCACTTTTAATGAATCATTATTAGTTATAGCAACACACACATATTACAGCTACCTTAATTTACCTCACACTGACCAGTAAATAATGCAATAAAGTCTTCTGGCCTGTAACTCCAGTAACACGAAAATTAAACTTCAGATGTGTTTTGCTCAAACAATGTGATGGCAGGTTAGGCTTAAATGATTGCCCCATAGTTTTCCCTGCTTTGAATATCAAACTGTTCATTCCATCTAGGGCTACCAAACATGTAAAAGTAGGGTGGATCCTACTCTTTTGTTGTTTTTTTTTTTGTTTTTTGTTTTTTTTGTTGTTTTTTTTTTCGGTGTCCACTAGTAAAGAAAAAAAGGTCTTGTCCCAGGCACCAGCAGGGTCATCCTACTTCCATGTTTTTGTCCAGATATGGGAGAAATAATATAGAAATGATGTTAATTACTGTAGCTGTAATTGTTCTGAAATCTGAGAGTTACCAATACCTTGATTGCAGGTTTCAGACAAATAGTAGAATGTATTTTTAAATTTCCAGTCAAAGCATCAGATCTATTTATGACAAAATTGAAAATACAGTTTCAATGCTGTCTTACTAAGGGTTATTTTCAAAACGTTGAACCAATCACTTAAAGGGACCACTTCTCAAATGGTATGCATCAGTTCTAAGAACTGGTACATGTAAGTACCATTTCAAAACTCCCTGCTTTGGCCCATTGGTTCGACTTATTGTATAGCTCCAAGTGGATTTTTTCTCTTAGAAGAGGTTTAATAATTCTTTTATTTTCCATCGTAAGGTTAAGCAAATATCTTTGGATTTATATAACTCCATTTTTATGGAACAATGAACATGCACTTGTAAATAACCAAATTTATTATTTTAACTATATAGATGTTTTGCTAGTGTAGCACCTCAGGGGGGAGTAGGAGTAGGAGAATCCCTCTGCACAATCTTGTACCCAGAGCCCATGTTCCTCCTTGTCAACACCAAGCTCACCAAGAGGACGTGAGCTCTGAGTACGAGATTGCAATCTGAACGCTCCGCATGCCAGATATATTGGATTGAGAACAAAATAATAGCAGCAGCAAGGACAACAAAACATCAATTGAAGGCCTGGATTCTTAGCCATGCAGCACTTTAACAAAAGAATCAGGCACAGATAGCAATGTTTTAAGCGTGGGGCTAACAGCAAAATACAAAGAAAAACCTTTTCATTGCATGTAGGAAAAGTGTAATTTCTTTGTTTATTTATATGTTAACCACATTCTTAAAATAATTTTGAGAGTAGTCTATATATTAAAGCACTAGTATTGTATGTATACACTTATTTCAATAAAGTTAGTCACCAAAAATCTAGAAAGCTAAGATCGCTGAGTATCATGGGAAACTTTTCATATCAAGGAAGCATATATATACAAAGCTTTTTTAATACACACTGCAGCTCGATGATGCTCAGAAGAGGTGAGACTGTAACCGGTAAAAGATTCGCAAGTCCATGAACAGTTATCAAGCGGTTGAACGTGTAAAATGAATCTATTCCTTGTCGGCCTCAGCTTTATAGCTTTTCAGGTGACTAACTTTATTGAAATAAGTGTATCTTGAAAAGAGAAGAGGAACAGTCGTAAACTTTAATGGTGCAATTTCTTTTTTTTAATTGTTTCATGAACGATTCATAGTTGTGGTTGCTATATAAAACTGTTTCATTGATATAGTGTTTGCACTCTATATAAGTAATAAGGTGGACGAGCTAGAATGCCAATCGTAGTGAGTGCGACATTACTTCCTTTATTTTATTCTATTTTATTTTCTTGGTCGTTAATAAAGTCTTGAAATCGTGTTTGGCTATTGAAATTCTCTTTTCATAAAGGTATGATCTAGCAAACCTATCCTGCAAAAGGCTAAAGAGGGTGTAGTTAGAAAAGACAGGGTCAAATTTCGTCCCGAGAACCCGCGTTGCTTAAGAATGTTCATGGGCATTGTTCGCGCGCATCCTTTAATTGCGCTCATCGTGATGACGTCATTCCAATGTTTTGATAAGCAAAAGCTCATAAAAACGTCTTTAATCTCGTATAGCTCTAAAACGAAGTCGGACACCTCCATTTTTTATTTCGCTTTTTGAAAGTACTTTATGATGCCTATCCTTAGAGAGAGGGGGGGGGGGGATGACGATGGGATCAAATCGAAATTATATATTTTGTGTATAACTTATAATTCCTATCCCACTAAATCACTAATGTTCTATTTTCGTATGACAACGTTCTTGCAAGTAGGTGTAAATGCAAACTAGTTATTTGGTTATTTTCTAATCTGTGAAAAATGGAGACGATCAATTTATTTTTCCAATAAAATATTACTAATTTTGGACAGCTTTCCATGCTTACGTTGCTCGCGCGTCTTTACCGTTAAAAAGGGAGAACTTCCACGTATTCTGACGGCTAAACAAAGTCTGGGACCCGGATTTTTTATTGCTTATTTTACATATTTTTAAAAATCTGATGGGATCGTAAAGATAGGCAATATCACTATGAGCCACAATGCACTTATGTCTTGAAATGCACTATTCAGTATGCACGCAGTATTCGGTATTCAACATTTTTTGAAATAGTTGCTAGTTGTGTATTACAGTCGGATAATTTTACGAGTGATAGCGGCCGTAAAAATACACATCTGTAGCAGTGTAATAAAATGTTTATCGTACGACATAAAACACTAGGAAAGTGCATGAACGAAAAACAACAATTTTTATTGTAAAGAAACAAACGTTCTAGCCAGCTTAGCCAAAATCCCTGTGAGAGCCGAGGCTAATCCGATTCACAGACCTTGTTTTATCGCTCTATAATTTCACTCAAGAAATGATTGTAACACACGAGAAATTTATTGTCGCATACAGTCAATTCAAAAAATGTTGTCGTCGACCAACTCAAGCCTACGCGACTGGACCGAAAGGAACTCTGGGTAGCAATCACTGAAGCCGAGTTGACTCCATAATTTTATCCGACTAGTTATGCCTTGTTTACAGCACGAACCTTCGTAGGCGAGCGGGAAGTGTTGAAGGAGACTTTTTTAATGCCTTCATATTTTCAAAATTGTGAACTGAATCATAACTACTTTGTTTTGCTTTCCCTAAACCCAAAGACATACATTTGACGGATTGTTTCTCGCCAATATTATCTTTATTACTAGCGGGAACAATTAATTCAGAACGAATATTTAACCGCTTCAGTGATTTTTACCCATATTCCTTTCGGTCCAGTCGCGTAGGCTTGAGCCGGTCGACGACAACGTTTTTTGAATTGACTGTATAATAAGCAACAATAACCACCCTCTTCACGAAACAGAAACCATATTGATTAACTTTGCTGCCAGTGGTGGGACATCGCTACAGTCTTTTCCATAGTACCAATCTAATTCAAAATTCTAGCACAAATTGATTTTTCTTTTGCTGAGATAAGTACCTGATAGGTTGATGTTTTAAGCCCACTCGGCTTGAGCGCAATGATTTCCCTAGTATGCGTAGCTGCGCTTAGGGGAGGAACTAGCGGAACTAGTTTTGAAGGGTAATTAAGGTATCAGGGTACCCCAAAATTGCTCAAAAGTATCGATTTTCCCCCAAAAAAATTTTCGATAGTGATTTTTAACAGCGAGTAATAACAAAGGCAACAAAGGCACTTCTGCTCAGTGAGAAACTGAACATTTTTGCGTTTTTCTCGGAAGTGCTTTTCATGATTTTGCGTTCAGTTACCCGTACATTTTGAGTCCGAAGTCAAAGGGAATTTGACCGATTTAACTGAAATTTTGAGGAAGTTATCTTGGATAGTTGTTCTTCAAAAGTGTGTCTCCGATTTTTGATTTTTTGCTTATTTCCAAAGTTATCGTGGATTTTGGGCTTGCATACCGGTGATATAGCAGCGTCATAACTTTAAGAGCGTATAACAAAAGCAACGGGGCAACTAATCAAAAATCGGAGAGACACTTTTGACAAGTGATGTCTTGTGATCTCGGAACAAGGGCGCCAGGACAGACGGATTGGGTTTTAGATGTATGTGTGATTGTTTCAGTTATTCTG